TCCCCGTTTACAGTGTCCTCAGTGTGCATCCTTGCCACACGGAGGGTGGGACGCCTCGTTTGCGTATCCGATTTATCAAAAATAAAATTTTATATCTTACTCCAAGAAAATTAATAAATTAAACACACGGGATTAAATTAGAATGTATCAAGTAAATTCGAGTCAACTAAGTTGTATGCTGTAAGAGCGTATTTAAGCATAATTTTAACTATGTCGCGAAACTAGAAGAAAGTGGAGACAATAACCACTTCCAATAACCGAAAGGTAACGATAACATTAACCAACGAGTCACATTAAAGGGAGGACGAAAAGTGGCCTTTAGTTGATCGAAACACCTAACAATGACTCGTATCTCTTAATTCTAACTCTAAATTCGACGTTTTAAAGAATACCAGTGTGATTCCCTGAGCACTACTATATATATACGTTCATGCTAAGTACAAACAATTAAAACACGCAATACCTGACACCCGAGCATTTAATATAAAAAGGAGAATATGTGTTTCTATTATTCTAAGAAAGAAAAAAGTTAACAAACACAACGAGACACAATTAAAGAGATCTGGACTAACTACTATATATAATCACACTACGCAATGGGACACGATATCCAAATTAGGCCAACACCTATGCATCCAAGAAAATCCATTAAATTTACGAGAACTTATGAGCAAATTAAGCATCAAATAACCGATTTCATCAATGCATACAACAGGTTTATCTTGACTAGACCTTTCAACGACAAGAAAAAGCCAGCACTTACTGAAAAAGTTAGAGTCGATAACGGCACAGAGTGCATTAACAATGAACTACGTCGACGCCTTAAACAATTTGGCCTCTTCATACCCACTTCACTACGAAAATGTCGTCTATTCAAGGTTAGTGAACGAAGTATTCAAACACTAAACATGACAAGAAGCATCCTCAAACAAGTAGGGCTGAACCCTCAAAAAATACTGGGGGTGAAGCAACAACCAATGCAGTATTTATAACAAATAGTCTTCCTCACAAAGATGAAAACCTAACTCCTAACCAAATTTTTGGAATAAAGAGAGGGACTTTAATCACTATTAACTCCTTTAACGCAAGGTTTTGCTCCAGAACACAAAATTCAATTTCATGACGGTATCAATACTTCAATAATCTATTTATACCATTCTACAGCACGGTAGATGAATTTAGAGTCCTTAACCTAAATACAGAAATTCTTTGAACATATATATCTCCTATAGCAAAGACGACTTTATGAAAAAACAAAACTAAATATAGAAACACAAAATGGCACATGCATTTATTAAACCAGCATATCGTTAATGACCTTATTATAAAATCTGCAACCCAGCAAACAAACCATGGAAAAGAAAATAACTACGAGACTAAAAACAACGAGAAAAGCATAAAGAACTCATATCAACAACAGAAATTGTGACTTCAAGTAAACTGCAAAATGGTGAGGGGTAATAGAAGCAAACTAATCGCAGAAGACAACCTCTTTAACCTCCGCACAAAAATCAAAAGCAAACGACAACAAATACGGTCAATCACCACTTAACTATACCACCGCATGACATCCAAAAGAAATGGATGGAAAACAAGAACTTAAAGCAGAAAGTTTATACTAAAACAAGGATATACAAATTAGAAGAACCCATAATAACGAGCCCAAAAACGGTTGAGAAAGACACACATCAAGTACATCTAAAGCACGACATTAAACAACTACATAGCTTGTATCATTTAAATCTAAGAAAATATGCTCGATCCCAAAGGAACACTATGGAAAACAAAAAAACATGGAGTCGGCTTTATATCTTTAAACGATTGGTTCCCTTGTTACCGCAAGGTTCGACACATGTGGAATAATTACACCTAACTATTAGTACTGTCGTGAATACTGTTAGTACCTAGTATATATATATATCCCGCCGTCGGCTGCCAGTGGGGCCAGCCCAAGTAAGCTTGAGACAACGAGTTCGTCTCTAGGATACAGGGAATCTGGCACTTACCTTTAGACTCAAGCCCCCCAAAGGTTTTTTCCGTTATTAAGGGTCATATCTTTCGCTACCATGGTTATCAACCATGCCTAACAACTCAAACTACAAAGAGGCCAACTGTCCTTGAACAAGAAAAAACCAAAACTACTGCTATTGCTCATAGTTCACAAAATAAACGATCCGAGAAAGAAATCGAGGTCATAAATTACAACAATAACTTAGGCACTCTCAAAAAGAGAACTACAGCAGAATTACGCACCACCGCACCCAAAACAAAAATCAAGATACACGAGACCCGAACATAAACCTTCGCAAAGAAGGAAATCTAACATTAGCTATCGAGTTAGAATAGAAGCACCTATCATAGAAGATGAATCCGATATGATAGTAGATACTATCTCTCCATTAACCTACGGTAAAGTCTTGAAGGAGTCTGATCAGGAAGCCTACGATCAGGCGGTCATTTCTGAACTTAACTTATTTATTAAACACGAAGAATTTACAATCCTTAGGCACTCTGGATTACCAGAGGACACTAACGTACTGTCAACTACACGGAAATAACACAAAATATAATAAAAGATGTAAAGGAGGACTCAAAGAGAGGGAATATATGCAAAAAATAAAAAATAAAAAAAAGGTGTGGGCTCTCAAAACTTGTTCTCCTGGTCTTGGCAAAAGCACCCTCAGAAACCTAAATAACCTTAGCCCATCTAAAAATCTAAGTGTACACACAGCTGACATTATCACCGCTCTCAAAGAATGAACTTAATAAGAGAAAGATTAGATCCGAAATAAAAGAATTTTGCTCAACAAACATAAATAGAAATAAAACTGTGTAATAAAGGTGAATATTGCAATTCATGGGCTTGAAGAGACTCAGCAAGACTATTTCCCGCCATATTACCTTACACTTAATAAAATAAGGACACAAACAGTCTTATAGATAACTGTGTTTTTTACTTTGAAACAAGGGACACAGTTTTAAGAATTTAAACGGATACTTGTTTTTAAAGGAGTAAACATCATATTTTATCGTATGTAAAGGAAAGCGGAAATCCCTTTTTAAATTTGTCTTCTGATTTAAATTAGCGGCGCTGTGAAACATTTTTGCGATCGTAGCAGTAATATTTTATCAATATCCTAAAATTAGGTTAACATACATATGTGTGTACCGAGGTATCTGCTCACCAAATCTACTCCTTTAAGGTGTCTTGCAACGTCTTCATTCTTAAAGTAGGGCAGATTAGTCAATCGCCTTTCTTAAATTGGCGAACGGTGAGATTTAGAATGTCTGCTTATTATGCTCTAGACTTGTTAACTATATAAATTCTTCAATGTAGTATACTAATTTGCTCTTTTCAAATAAAAAAATTTTGTGAAAAAAAAAACAACCACAAAATATAATACATTAAGAAAGAAGTCAACAATGGACTTTCGAAAAGTTTATATATTACACATCGGGTATGGAATTTTAAAATTCTTAAGAACTCTATCGCCAACTTCTAAACCCTCACATTTAATGAGAATCTTTCAAGTGTAATATTTAAAAAGCACAGATGCCAGAATAATATGAGTAGAGTTTCGTATTACGTAAGTTATAGAAGAACCAATACTGGGGCTACTGAGGTGGGTGCATTTTTTGGTTTTTGTTTTTATAACTGAATTCTGTTATAGGGCACCCTTGGTGTAGTGTGATGCCCTCAGTGGCCCGCTCAATCTAAGTGGGATAACGACAAATTTTTAACTTGGTGTTTTATTAAACTGCAATCTTAAACAGGTTAATTAGCTATAATTATGTAATCATTGACGTTTACTCTGGGTATCTTCGTTATTTTTCTGACTCTAACATATTGCATTCATCGAAGTAGCTCTAAAAGTACCCATCTTCTATTCTACAGTTTGCTTTCCTTGTGGAAGCTTCTAAAGTTCCCCATGTCGTATTTAATGAAAACAACCCTGTTTATGACTTTTTCTAGCCTTAGTGTTAAAGACCCTGTTTTAATTTAAGATGAGGACTATGCGCAGAGAGAGAGTTATAGTCAACACCAGATAACAAAAGTTAAGCCTTATAGAACATTTCCACACTCATAGGGTAGTCCATGCTAGTCCTAGCAATGTTAATGGTAAAATATCGCTGGTAGAAAGATAAGATTTATTTACTTATCAAGTAACTACATATAAAATTATCACTAATTAGACCAGTAGGCAATGCTTGTATGCTCTAAAGCTCTTGTCTTCTATGTTAGTAATAGAACATATAGAATTTTCAAAACCGATCAACAAGTTATCTAATAGCTTAGTTCGTATCACGCAAGTAGTCTTTCGCTTTGGGTAATGCCTTGAAGTTATTTTTCTGACTTACAGAAGTTCTGCAAACTCATCTTGGATAATATAGTTCTTCAAACATTACTTGGTCCCGTTTTTGTTTCAAACGCTTAACTAATCATCTTACCCTGTTAACTATAACCGATATATTAATCTACTAGCCGTTATTTTATAGTGCGAGAACTGGCAAAAGAATATATATTGCTAACAGCTAAGCGGTGTTAAAAATATTTATGAAATGAAATGTCTACTGATTTGCACGGACAAAAGTAAAGGCGTTAAGGTCTTCAACATATAATAACTATAAAAAAGTTTTTCAGATATAATTGACTATAAAAGGTTTAATTTTATGCCGGGGAAGTAACTAGAACGGTATTAACGTGCAAAGTGCAAGAGAAAAAAATATACAAGCTTCGCAACTTTAACTAGCCTCCCCCCATCCATATTTAAACTAAAATTGGTGAATAAGCAATGCATTGATCTTCCTTCACAATGTATTAACGGTCAAATATACAAAGAAGAGAACCCTATAGACAAGCATTCTATGCGCAATATTTTATACTTTGGCTCAATATTTTTAAAGCAAATGCAACGTTGCCTCAACAAATATAGTTGGTAACTTTTAATACAGAAATAATATATTTTATAATAGTTAATACAAAAGTTTGTGTCCTCTTATATTCAAATTTTCTCAGTCACTAAAACGTTCAAACGTTCAAAAAACCTTTTTCCAGAAGTTAGTCTAGTTATCTACAGAGAGACAATTGTAACAAATGCATATTATCAAAGATTCACGGGTGAGCTGTAAGTGAACGGCTTCGGTATGCGAGTGTGTTCACTGTGGGTATCAACTTAAACGTACATTAACCACATTTTAGGTTACACGCTCTGATAGAGATACCTCTATAGAACGTACAAATATATACCTTTTTCGGCTGGTTTTAAAGTTTATTGAAGATCTACAAAGTAATAAAAACCATAATAATTATAAATATCGTCTATACAAAGATAACCTGAAAGATAGCAATCAGTTGCAAGATATTCACTGCTGCTCTCTGAAAAGAATCCTTCCAAAAACTGATAAGAAGTGATGTACGGGGGACAGCGTTCTAGAATATAGAGTGTATTTTCAACATCAAAGACAGTTTGGAGAACCTCGCTATTGGTGTTAATGCTCTGCACATGTAGCTGGAATATATTAAGTATAAGTGTAACACACATAAACATATTGCAAACAAGGGTCTCCAAGCCTTCAGTTGTTAGGCTGTACTTGTAGACCTCAGCAACACTAAGACCTTCATAACACACACAGACATGCTGTGAGGCTGAACACTGCAAATCTATTTAACAACTTAAAGCAAAATTTTCGAAACAAATAAAACATGAGCACCGCAAACTTTGTGCTTGTGCACGGTAGAAAACGGTTCGAGTGAAAAGAGTTCCTTGCCGTTGGTTGGATCCCACAACTTGACAGTCCCGTCATTCGACCCCGAAAAAAGACGAAGCCCTGAGCTGGTAAAAGAAAGGCATGTGACGGCGCTTCGTGTTTTCTGTGAGCAAGGTGTAGCGAAAGGGACTGCGGTAAAAATACCCCTCGTGGCCAATACAGTAGGATAGTATGTGATAAGCGTTAGGAAAGAAAGAAACGCGGATCCTACCTTCCCTGTCACACACAGCCAAATAGTTGCTTACAGATAGATACTGTTCCTTTAAGTGTTATTTTAAATAAATAATTAAAGTTAAGTACCATGTCAGTTATAGTCGAAAGGGTGTCAACTAGAATTTTTTGCGTTATTTCCGTTTTCTCAATACAATAACTATAAGGCAGCAATTAGAATAGAGGATTAAGAAACTAAAGGCTTGAAGGTCATAAATTAATTCGACTCTTAAAAAGTACTTTATGACATGTCCAGCCTTATCCGCGACAAGAATGCTTTTGTTGTCTTTCGAAAAGCAGACCTTAACGCCACTTCGGGGTAAAACTCTGAACAAAAGTGCAAAAAATCTTTTTATAAAAGTGCAAATGAAAGCGGTAAACGAAAATACAGAGGTAATATCATACAGGTTGAGAACAAGATCCATGTTTGATATACTATATACTAACAACTCTTTAAGGTTATTCACTATAGCGACTTGGTCGCCACTATTTGAGTAGCAAGCACAAACCAACAAGCCAAAATTCTGTCAAAATTAAAAGTAAAAAAGAGTTTAGCAACATAAATTACAGAAAAAAACCCTTTTATCTTGTTTAAACGTTTGGGCAACAATTTCCTTATAGTTAAAAGAACTAGCAAAAGAAAGGAAGCATGAAATTAATTTTATTAAATAAAAAATTCTGAGATTCTAGTACAAAATATTTAAACTTACCTTGAAAAAGAAAATACTAAATAAAAGTAAAAACCCTATAGAATGAGGTAAACTCACCTCAGGTTAAATTCTCTAAGCAAGCAACTGTAACCAACTAAAAGTTTTGATAGATCAGTAGGATGGGTTATTAAAAACTGTGGCAAATTTTTTTGGGGACTTACTGTCATTATAAAATACAGAGAGCAAGTTTTAATTTTTATTAGACAACTTTGCCAAGAAATGGGTTTTGAAAGAAATAGTCCCCACTCCCCGAAAAACTTTAAGCAATACCAAAAAGTGTCAGTAGTCGGTCCTCCCTGCTACGTTAAATTTTCAACCACACTGCAAGTTGAACTTCCGCTTTTTCGATTCCTTACCATTTTAAGTGTTTACAAGTTCTGAGGACGCAAGACTCACATAAAGCAGTTATATTTAAGTTACTAGATTTTAACGCCATAAAGTAAACCTTTTTCAAGCAAAAGGAAAGTGTTTTGTATTTACCTTATGGATAGTTTTTTAGCAGTTCTTTCACCACTATATAGATTAATCCATTAGTCCGCTACCACTTAAGACTTTCTTAGGATTCCAAATCTTTTACTAATGAAAACTCGCAATTCTATAATTTGTACTCGTTTTAAATCTTTGGAAAACCCTTTAAAAACTACTATTTAACTAATATAACATGTATTTTAAAGAATTTGCATTCATCGATAACCTACTTTTTTACTGATATGCCTTAGAAGCCCTACACTCCTTAATTAGTTCCGTTGGCATACTTTTCCCTTTTTTGACACTATTTTAGTATAAAGTAATAAATCGCAGTCCACGGTTATTCGGGGGGGGGGGGCCTTTAAAGTAACACCCCATGTCAGCGACCCTACGAGAAATGTAAAATTTTCTTCGTAAATCTAGCTTGAAAACTTTATTAAAGTATACAATAATTATAACTAGTGATTCCACTTAGGACTAATGTAATTTTTAGTGAAGAGAAATATGAGAATCAAAACCTTAAACGAAAAGTAATAAACTGCACTTAGTAAATACAAAGAAAACTCTCATAAGCCGAATCGCCAAAAATTTTTAAAAATTGCATCCATTAGTTAATATATTTGATTGGTTTATCTTCTAGTTAAAGTTTCTGTATGGTTTACTTCTGTTTTGTGTAATGTAGTTGTTTGCTTATATTTTATTAAACAGTTGTGCACAACTGAAAGGAGTTAGTAAACATGCTCAATAGCTTATTTTTAAAAACTAATTTTGCTTAAATGCTTAAAAAGCCTAGGAGAGCAATACCTTTTGGCAGAAGAAGCACATGATAGGAAAAATTGTTCTGTGGCTCACAAGCCAAACGCTAACAATTGCTTTTTTATTTCAAGACTAAATCTTAAATTAACGCTACGAAGCTGTTTTAAAAGATCGAACCTTAATTAATGAATAAAGAAAGCGCGTACCCACCATTTGTTTCTCTCCGCTCTAAGTTTTCTTCTAGCCAAGAGTTTGCAAGCCCTTTGCGTGTCGGTCTTGAAACCTTTGTAGTTGATAACCCTAAACTCAATATAGGGAGTCGAGCATTATAAATTTTAAAAGTCTACTAAGCATTCAAGTTAAAATTAGTTAGATATATGATTAGTTAAAACGATTATCAATAAAAATATTTTAAGTAGTACAAAAAAATTGTTTTAATACTTTAAATAAATTGAAGCTTACTGTTAACTGATTGCTTAAAAAAAACGTGTAATAACAACCCACTCAGCCGTATAACAGCAGGTTTACGGACTGGTATTGTGTATCTAGATATTAGTTCCATTACCTAAAGATAACTAATCTTTATTATGGACTAAATATGCTAGGTTCTTTGGAGCAAAAGATTGTTGAGGGTACTCTTTATTTTTTACGTCGGCACTAGTCTAAGTTGATTGGCTTAGTGGAATGTTTATTACATGAATTTATGTATATATTTATATTATCTACTGTATATTAATAAATTTTTAATTTTAACAATTTACCAGTATATCTACCTTATATAAGGATGGTTATTGAACTTCACACTTTTAATAATTATCCTTTTGTTACCTAATATTGGTGTGTCATAGCTAGTAATAGTTCGAAATTACATTAATTAACTTAAGAGTTTAATTTTTAGCCCGTTTACACGGCAGTTTTAATGTCTATAGAACAAGCTATAACTAAAAAAAAAAAGTCATCATAGTTTATTATTAAAAATGGTCAGGAGGCTTTATATATAGTTTCTGATTGCTATATAATATGCTTTGTAGAAAACTTTGTTATTTAGGTATCTTTTATACGTGTATTATTGAATTTGGTTGGTTTTATCAAGAAGTTCGACACGTAGACCACTGAAAAGATAATGAAATTTAAAGTTGGTATAGCTGAAATAGCGCCACCAATATAGACTTAACAATGTAAAATTATAACTAATAAAAACTTTTTAAGCTTTTATGAAGACAAAATTTTCTTTTTTTTAAATAATAATTTTTAAAAGGGTAAATTGCTTTTTAAAGATATTAATATATATTATGTATATTTATATATATATATTCGTTTATTCCACTAGTGAAACACGAAAATATTAACTTCAATAACGCAATACTTTTTGCATGGAAATATAGTGCTTTGTATTATAAACTTTTTTTATTTTTATTATAGTTCAGTGCCATGAAAACTCATTTAAATGCCTCAAGCTAAAAGTGAAAGACCGCTGCACTGTGATTAGCCAGGCCACCACACTTAAACGACAGGGATTAAGGCAAGTAGGCATATGTTAACGAGAGTGAAGCGATAATGCGCAAAAACGAATTGTTAGTTATAAGGCTTTTGGAATGTTAAAACGATCGTACTGCACCGCCTCTGAGGGGAGTAAAGCTCTTGAGAAGGCCTTGAAAAAGCTTTTGAGGTTAATTATACAGTTACTTATTCTTTTGGTGACCACCTATACCTACTCTTATATAATTCATAGTGTTTTTTTTTATCAATTTTTTAACAATGGCGGGTTTTTTTAGTTTATGTACTTTTATTACTCGTTCTTAGGTCACTAAAAATCAACATTTATTTTCAAGCTATTATATTGTTATAATTATTGTTATCTTAGTGGGTGTTTTTGACTTTTATATTTAGCGTTTTATTTAGATTTTATTTCCTTATATACCTTTATTAGGCTCTATAAGCGCTCCTTCACTTTGAGTGTTAAGCCCTGGAAAGATGCCTCTCTTCCTTCACCAGCTAAAATAGTTAATAGTAAACACAATCTGGCCGTTATGGTTAAATAAGAGGAACACTTTGCTTATAAGCTTTTATTTTAATTATTGCAGATTAAGTTGTTGCAGTTAGGCGAAAGTTCAGTATTGTATCAGTGTTTTCTCCAGGTAATAATTATATTTTTAATTTTTCTTGTAAGTCATTATTGTACTAGAAGAAAGCAGAATTCTTTTGTAACTTTGTTTTAATGTTAAGGAACTTATTTTTTTGAAAAAGAACGGTTCTTTGTTAGACTTTGACTCTACTTTACCAAAGTTGACAGGACAGTTCTTGGATGATCCATTGTGAAATAAACTTATTTTTTTATTGTTGTGTACCTGCTTATGAATATATTATGACTTTTTATATAAACTTCAATCTAGAGAAGAATTGGATGAGGATTTTCAGTTGGCTTCTATTGGGCATGTTTTGCCTCCCACTTTGAAGACTTTGCGACATTTATTAACAGTCGGTTGAGTTTATAGTGTGGTAAATACTATCGCAATATACTTTTACTTTTGTTTAGACAACCAACTCTCTAAAGAACAGTTTGAAGGAGTTATCGTTCAGCGTTATCACCAAATTCTGGAGCTAGGGTTTATATCCTTTTTTTTTTAAGCTTTTTAAATTAAAAATATTTGTATAACTAGTACCTGGAGCGCTAAGAGACTGCCTAAAATCTTGGAACCTAGGAGATTGCTATGTCACTGGGATTATCTTTTACTCGAAATGAAGTGGATGTCTACGTATAATATATTGTAAGTGTTCCAAGGAAAAAAATTTATGGAGTACCCAGAGACTTTTTGGGAGAGCGTCGCTTCAAGGTTCAACTTGCCCGGCAGTGTGCGCACTACGTTGCTCTCCATCTGGCATCTGTTCTGAAGCGCCCGTCTAGAGACGCCTCAGAGCACGCGCTACTCGGAAAGCAGCACTGCGAGATCCTCGCATCAGCAGTTTCTAAGTTTTGGAGGGAGTACAAGAAGCCCACGCAGCGCTTGCATGCGCCTCCGTCACTACATGATCACCAGGTGGAGGGAGCCGAGTGGCTAACCCGCAACTACTCGGGTTTGTCGTTTTCCTTGCATTTTTTTTGTTTCTTTTTATGAGCATCTCTTCTGCACTATAAGATGCTGTCACTTCTAAGGTGTGGAAAAGTGTTATTCTGGCTGACGAGCACGGCTCGGGCAAGAAGACAACGGTGTCCTCGTTTCTTTCATCCACAGTCGGCTTTAGTGTACTATGCTGTGTTCCAGCGTCTCTTTGCAATTCTAGTGATTTTGTAGCATTACCCCCGACTTCTCGTAACGTTTGCTCATCTGCTTCCCCAATGGACCTTTGAATTGTCTCGGCACAGAAACTTTAAGACTAAGCTTTGCTATGGTTTTAGCCGACTGCCTCTTTACCTTCCCTTTAGCTCGATAGTATTGTTTTTTAGGAAAGGATTTCGGCTCTTTACCCTCTTTCTATTCGCACGAACTCTGTTTGACCACCTACGACACATTCTTGAACTTCCCAGAGCGCATCTCTTTCAACTCGTGGTCCGTCATTGTGTTAGATGACTGTCACCAGTTTTTTCAGGATCACACGGCGCTCTTTCGGGACAACAGCGCCTTCTTCCTCTTTGAATTTATGATACTAGTTAGCGATGTACTCCCTCTTTGCCTTGAAGCAGCAGAGCTCGCGGACGCTCCCTCTATTTTATTGAAACCGCTCTTAAGAGTCTTCTGCCTTCCCCACTTATTTTCTTTGTCTCCTGTCGCATATACCAACGAAATATTAGCTGGTCTACCGAAAACTTTTGGAGGTCTGAACTTCGCCCAGTGTAATAATTGGGAACTGTGGAATTGGTTTTCCACGGAAAATCAATCACATACGCCGGACACGCTGGTGATGCTTCAACAGGTTTAATATATTACTTGTTTACACATCCGTGCTAAACTCTATTAGCTTTTGCAAGCTTACTCTCTACGTAGACGTTTTCAGAGGAAAGAGAAAGAGAAAGTTTTCAAGACTGAGCTTATTAGAGTCGCCAAAATTAAAAAGATTAATATTGTTTGTTACATGTCGCCTCTGCAAGTGACTTTGTACAACGAAGCAGTTATTAAGCAGCTAAGTTGCGTGAGCTTGACAAAAATGCTTGAAACCGCCGTTAAACTTCGAGACATCTGCACGCATCCTTACCTAGAGAGTAATAGCGAGCATTACCAATCCGGCTTCGTAATGAAGGTCTCTCACATATAAATTCAATGTTCAAATGCTTACACCAACTTTTTTGGTCACTTTAAAGGAATTATGTTTCTTACATTTGCCGGCCATTATTATACGACTCTCGACCCATATGAGGAGTTTACAAGGCGCGTGCAGAGTGCGAGCCGCTTCATCGAGTGCCGACCCGATCACTGCAGCTTACTTTTCTGGGTACGACCCGCACACCAAGTCTGCGCCGCTTCGGTTTCGTAGCTCGCTTCTCTGGAATTACGAGCCCAACCAACCAACGCATGTTTTATTTAAAAATCGAGACAAGAACTTTTGTGAACACGATTATTTGGAAGAAACCAATTATTTACATCGACTCTGCACCATCAGCACTACCACCGACCTTCTCGACACAAGTCTGTTCGTTTTACCCAAAGTGATCTCCTGTGGCTTCTCTTTATATGTCTCACGGGTGACTTTATTTCCTTTAAGTGGATCTCATGTGACTGCGTCTTGGTTAACTATAACTATCTTCAGCTTGGCCTGTTGAGGTATCAGGCGGTGCGACCCGATCTTCTGCGCCCTGTTTATCTGAGACCCCTTCTCTACCGCCGTCAACTGACTTCTTTTTCTAGCGGAAAACTTAGAACGCTGCTTTATCTGTTAAAAAAGCATTATTGCTCCAAAATTATATTGATTGTCTCCAATTCTAAAACATTGGACTTACTTGAAGGTTGGCTCGGCGCCAATGGAAGGTAATTTTTTTGCTAATTTTTTAACAGTTCCTACGATTCTGACCTTTTTTAATGACCAGAAAGTGGTTGCGTATGGATCACACGCATCACCCTCACCATCACTACAAGAAAATGGTACACTTTAACGCCGCTGCTGCCCCCACTTTGCTGTTGTTGTCTTCAAAAATTATGGGGCCTGCGTTGTTACCAGCCGTGGCTGATGTTATTGTTCACTTTGAAACCGAGTGGTGATGTCTTTACGTACATATAGTGTATCCTTTCACTTTATTATAAATCTCAATAGGTCTCCTCATTTTAACAAAAATACTTACGATTACTGCTGCAGAGTACGCACGAGTGTACACACTGAACTGTTAGAGTATCGACTAAGGACAGAAACACCGCTGGAGAACAGTTTACTTTCCGGCAACAGTTGCATGAACGGAAGCTTGACACCGCATCTACTTTTCTCTCTTGACATAACCACTCCGGTGGACCCCTCCGCCGTCGAAAGTTCATATGTTAACTTTCTCGCATTGGTTCATGGGAGTGAAAAAAATTGCTTTTGTCTAAATAAGACCACGGTTAGCTGTCACACGGTATTACCCGAAGAAGTAAACCAAAACCAAGTTCCACTCAAAGCACTGGAAGAAGCTCTTTACTTTACTGGTGAATATGATGATAAATGTGCCTGCACCTCTTACGGGGAGCTTTTGTCCTTGTGCACCCCCAGTAGGCTTGGAATCTGTAAAGCTGCAGCTCTTAAGGCAGAAGCCACAGACGATTGTTTAATACCTTCCCGCTCTCAATACATTGCCAACATTCAGGAACTTTTCTGTCGCCGTCTTCCCAACCTCCCTTTGACTGAAAAATTATTAAAATTATTCCGCCCTTTTATAAACGAAAAAACTATTAATTACTCCTTTAATACGGCGAGCGATCTTGATAAGGTCATCTTATAAGTTAAGCTACATCTCCGTTCCCGTTGATTGCTGTATAGGACTTGAACTGGAAGCTGGAATGGCTTGAATCATTAAATACTGAAGAGGAAAAGTGGCGATGCTTCACAGATCACCCACTCTTTTTTGACAGTACGTTCTGCCTAGAAAAGTCGCGCGAAATGCCTCTCTATGGCCCATTGTATACATTATTTATCTGTGACTTTTTGTTCAGATACTAATTGAAAGGTTTGCTTTAATATGAACTTCCTCGTATAGCTTTGACCAGCTATTTGCTCAATCATATTGCGATCTTTCACACACTTTCCTTTATAATATTGAACCCATTGAATCTAAATCACGAAATAAGCGCAAGCATAAGCAAGCGACGGAAGAACATACCAGGAAACTTTCTGACCTTGGCAAACCAGCTAAAAATCAGAAGCTTATTAAGAAATTAAAAGTTGAAGGTAACTTCCGCAGCACGTTCCTCTCTTGGTTCCTTAATATGCGTCACAGCTAAGAAGAGTGTTAAGAAGTTTCCTGCTAGCTTGCGTTTCCTTGGTCCTTATAGTTTTCTGAAGGATGCTCCCTGGATTGTAGACGAGGAGTGCGCGTTGCTTGAGGTCGCAAGCGTGACACCCTATAATCAACCTTTTTTTGTATATATAATTTTATTTAGTTTATATCTTTATCTGGTGAAGTTAAGCCAGAAGACCTAAACTGGGGGCTTGCCTGCGACTTGGTGCAGTTTACCACTGGAAACTTGTCCCGCTTGCGCTCGCCTTCGCAATGTAGAGACCATTGGAAAACTTACTTATTTCCAAAGAAGCGGCGTTATTGCGGAGATCAGAAAGAGGTTTTCTTAATTCTTTATAGGTCACTTTACCTATGCTATGTTTTTGTTACTTGAAGTTGAAAACATCTACGAACATATATAAAACTTGTACTGAACAGCTTAAGCGCTCCGAATCTGTCAAGGTGCTTTTATATTAGCTGCACGGTTTTTTATATTTTACACTTTAAACCTTTAAGATATACAAGCAAAACATATTGAACGTCTTTGAGGCCATTCGATCTCTCGTGAAAAAGGCGTATGAGGATCCCAGATTCGGCTTCAGACGAGAGGTTACCCGGTTTTGATTTTCACTCCTGCAGTCATCCTTCACTCACCCTCCTGACCGAGTTAGGGTCCTCCGGCAATCACCGTCTCTTCCCGGCCTCATGATTCCCATGCGGCCACAATAATTGGCGCAAAGATCAATGATGGGCACGCGTTTTTTTTTATAAACGCCATTGAATTAATCATGGAAATAACCCATCCTTAATAACTTAGTTTGCTGCCTGTGGACCTGTCAAAACTTATCGAGGAACGGGAGCTGATGTTTCACGTCCGACAAAATATCTCTAATAACTTATACAGTATGAAGGGCGGAAATAGCAGTTACGACAGTGGCAGTAAACGCTTTAGTGATGATGAAAACGCTTATGAAAGTTTTAGAGAAAATCTCCAAGGAAGCAGCACGGGGAGCGCATGTGAGCAGATTAACATTTCTTGTATATCCATTGTAAATTTTTTATTGGCAGGCGGGAACCAGGCCATCACTCAGGAGGTTCTTTCAGGTTCAACCGTCAAGAAGCCTGCCAGATCTCTTAGCTACAGTCCACGTGCATCGCGACAACCCCCGAATCTATTCGTTCAGCCCCTGACTTCAAGGTTTCAGCTACCGGGGCTTGTAGTCCAGCAGGTGCACCGAAGCGGAGTGCCGCAGCCTCCACCTGATGCGGGGGCAGGGACCCGCCGATCGCCCTGGGCGTCTTGTCCCTGGCCTGGAATACCGGTGCAAAACGCCTCATTGCTGCCTCCTCAGATTCCACGAGCAACGTCCGGGGTAGAACCACCCGTTCTGATTATGTCGCCCCGAACGTCCTCTTTAGCTTTACCGCCCTTACAGAGGCCGTACCCCCCCAAATCAAACAACTAATTATTTAAACTTGCTCTTTATTAACAACGAATGGCCTTAACGTACTTTCAGATTTATAATTCCGTTGGGAGAGAATAAACGTCTTTACGTTTTTGAGTCAAAATTGGAATATTTTTTCTAATTTCCTCTACTTTGGACAGGTCAATATCCGCTATTATTATTTTCTTGACGGTTTCGGGTCGCTGTTAAGTCTACTGTTAATAAAAGAAAAATATCAACCTCCTCCTCCTCCGCTTTTGCTATAGTTGTTCCCCATGGATTTACAACCATGGAGTGTCCTAACAGTTATCTAACTAAATATACTCACTTTAAAGCCTTAGCCACGACTCCAACGTACCCCAGGCAACGTAGCTTGATGGTGAGGGGTTTTCCTTCGGAGAATGTCTCGCAGGAGATATAGTGCACACATACACCTGCCAGTGTTATTTGTTGCGTGCAAGGGAAAGACGCTAGCCTCTACACCTGGTTGTCCACCGCCCGCCCGCGCTGCAGCAGTTCCCAGTGGGCTTCCCCTGAAAGCAATAATTTTCGCGCTAACAACTGTGAATTTCACAGCAAAGGTACCCGTTGTCTTGTAGAAAGCACCAGGATAACACAGTATTTGACATCCTTCGCGGTACAGGTGTTGCGATATAAGTTAACCTGATTCTGCAAAAAACTCGAAGAGGTGGGATCGTAACCTTTTGCAGTTAAGACACTCGCATATTCCACGAAGCGAATGTCGTAACATATTCCTAGACCAAATTTACCGTAAGGGGTGTCAAAAACAGTAAGTTTATTGCCAGCGGAAAGAGTACTGCTTTCTTGAAATCTACAAAATGAACATATATCTTTCAACTGAAAATAGTAATACAAACCTAAGGCAGCCTACTTTATCTTTCCTGGAATATCTAAATCGTATAGATGTAGTTTTCGGTGCTTCGCAATCAGTTTTCCCTGTTTTTAAGCGAAATTTTTTGCCGAGCTGTACCTTATTAAAGATACAAGGCTAGACCTCTGGATTAAAAACACAAGAAGTGTTGTAAAGTCTGTCTCCCTCCTTTTCAGGAATAGAACCGCCTATGAGGTAAACTGAATTTTCTATAGCCATGCGCTGCATTGCAGTTACGGAGGGGGACTCGGTATTCTTGCTATTATCTATTTTTTCTGCATACTCCGAAAAATAGTCAGTTCCTGGCAAATTAAAATAATAAATTATTTTACTAAAATATGCTTTTATTTTTATGTAAATCACTTATAATTTAAATTCTAAAAGGCCCACCATAAGGACTGTTCCAGCATTCTGGCAAGGCTACTACGTTGGCTCCTTTTTTAGAGGCTTCTTGAACAAAACTAATTGCTCTTGCGATGTTGTGACCCTTATCGCCCCCTACACTAAGTTGCACCAGGCCTAACTGAAACTTTTTGCTCATTACCCAACTGCTCCTTAGAAGTACTGCCTTAAAGAATACTGTATCACTTGCAAACCACTATTTATATTGGATACTTTATTTGTGTTTCCTTATTTATCTCTAAACCACTGGTAGTGGTAAGCTCATTTTAATTATCGCCTACACGTACAAAGATTTTAAACAATTATTTTAAACCCAAAATACATAAATTTTAAAATAGAATGCACTATAATAAACACGACATCTCTTGCTTATACAAGAAGGAATACCCGAAAAAACATTCGCTATATTAGAAAAAGACCTAAATAGTTCCATTAGATAAAAAAATACTATATATATAGCATAAAACGTTTTATAATAATGTACTAGTGCACGGTACTCTATAGCTGACTTAAAAAAAAGTAATTATATATTTTGCTTTTATTAAATTAACACCGGTGAAATGAATACGTTTAACTGTCGTCTCAATTTTTATTTTTTCGTCTCTTATCTGTAACAAAACTTGAAAAAATTAAAGTTGATACAAAAAAAAACTAAAACAGTTGATAAATTTCGAATAGCAGCAAGCGAGCTCAACAGCCGTGAACAGCTTATTTTTTGTAAAACAAAAATTTTTAATTTATAATAATTACGTAAACAAAGAAGTTCATTGGTTGAGATCCCGAAGTTCATTTATGCGCGTCTCGTGGCAATTACAGTCAGGGTTAACCATTATTATGAAAATCAAATCAATGCTTTTGAAGATTAGCGTATTTATGCTTATACAATAGTGCCTTCCACCTCACTTCTGTTATACGGGTGTAGGGGGTATAGCAATTCAGTAAAGCTGTTTCTACTTCTTTTCCATTCCAATATCATTGGGGCAGACTTTAAATTAATATATGTTACACCACGTGTACTGAGGGCAAAATTTTATGCGAGAGTAAAAGTAAACTATACTTAAGCGGAGTAGTTATGGGCGCGAGGAGCTTAGAAATAGAAGGGTCTAGGATCGAGTATTACATTCGTTCTACCGTCTTTAAAAATTTTAACTAAATAATTGACCTAACATAACTTAAATTATTATAAAAATTTCTACAGTTTTTTTTTTAACAATCAGTTTGTTGTGCCTTAAAACAATACTAAAAACTTCGTTTCCTCTTTTTCACTTCCATTGTTTACGCCGGAAGATTACTTAATTTTTTAATTTAATTATAAAGCAACTACGAAGTTCTTTAGCATTACTTTATCAATATTAGAAAAATGATTTCATTAGTTTTAAAATACTACTTGGAGCTCTAACACCTTAATATAATTAATTGGATGCTTATGAGCTTTTAAAAATGCACATTAAGTTAAGCTTCTAAGGTGCTATGATTTTATGGGTTGGACCTCAAATTATGCATAAAAGAAGGAGAATTACACCTCCTATTTTGCTACTTCCTAGTTTTTATAATTTTGCTTCACAATAAAAACCTCAGTATTAGATTCCATATCAATAATAACCACTTTTAGAAAGCTTAAAAAGCTCACCCTAGCTATTAAAAGTGAACTGTGTTAGATAGCTCCTTTAAGTTTATTAATGAGGGTGAAGTGTACAAGGAAGTTCACTTGTGATTATATAAGTTTGGCTCGCGCGCCCGCTGACTTTTTCTCCTTTTTCCTCTTTTGAATGTGCAATTGGGTTTAAATGCGCAAATTAACTAACAGAGCTTTCTAGTACTTCTACTTTCGCATATCATATCACTTTATTGTCTAATATATATTCTTTATATAATTATTATATTACTTTACTGTCTATAATATACAAGATATCGAAGACTGACAGCCTGTGCAACCAACAGATATACTAAAAGACCAGTGTTGTCTTTATATTGTTTTTTATAAAATTTTATTTGAGTGCTAGCAAACCAGTAGGTAGAACATTAGTAATCACACTCCGAATAATAACGAATCTTATTCTGTATATATCTACATAATTATTCTTTCGACTCTCAAAGCTTCTTCATACGCACGGCCTACGCGCGAAAGTTAAAGGGTATTTCAACTTAGTGGTCTTAAGAAGCAAACTAAACGGTTCAAGACGTGTTCTTAAAAACATAAGTACTAAGTTTACTTAAAACTAGCCAAGTTAAGTAACAAAGTTAAAGAAAAGGTCTTTTTATTATTACAACAGAATTTCATATTTAAGGAAGTTACGTATTTATATTTATTTTGCCGGCATAACTAAACAATTCTTGAGTTATATATATTCTATACCTTTAGGCAAAAGGAGAAATAGCAGTAATTAAAGCTATACTGCACTTGTAAACAAGGTACAAAGGCAAGACACGCTTAAAAAAAAATACCTTCAATTAAGGTGTGAACAGTTGAATAGTTATTATAAAGTAATCTAAGAATATATACAGAAGACTGTATTTTTATTGTTTTTCATAAATAAATTCTTTAAAGGGCGCGAGCTAATAGGCAGAACATAAAAAGTATAAGATTAATTATAATCAAGTTCTAGCGGTTACCGTTTTTTTCTTCCCTTCTTGTGTTGTCTAAGGTCGCTACATTTGGCGTAGTGGGGCGTATGTTCCAAAAGAGGGAGGCAAGGGGGCATGTTAAGATTAAAATTAAAATGACTACACAGCTGTGAGAGCTTTATTGCCACAACAAGCACTTAGTTCAATTCCTTATGCTAAAAATGTATTAGGGCTTCCAGTGCTAAAAGCATTTTCATTTAAATAGGTTCACTAAAAAATTAAAGTAAATATAGGATAAATTTACTTAGCCAGAAGTAATTTTTGCTAACTGTAGCGCTTTTCATTTAACCAAATAAATTTATTAAAGTTATATTATAATACCGGGTTATAATTTTTTACTTATTCAATGAAACATACATTTTTTGCTGATAGTTTCTTTTGCTGCCATTTCTTTTTAAAATTTAGCAAGTTTCATAATCAATTTTTGTTTGTTTTGTGTCTACCTTCTATATGCTTTGTTATAGTTAAAGAATTTCTTTACTTAATATTATTCTTTAAAAAAATTACTACGCTGTTTGCGCACAGAAGCTAAGATTAGATTTTTAGCAAACGAAAAAAAAATTGAAAACAATCTTATAATACTTAAAAATACGCAGGAGTTCTACAGCAAGAATACGTTACAAAGATTTTAACTAAATACGCCTTGAAGCAACAAGTTTAGTGACATCCAGGAAAGCTTTTGACCCCTTACTTTTTTAGCATATCGATATAACCTTCAATTACTCCAGTTTGGATTAAGATCGCCTAAGCTAATGCAAACTTGTACATGAATTCACGCTAAAATCAAATTATAAACTTTTATTTAATACATAAATACATAAGTAAAATGCCTCAAGACACCTTATGGAGCAAAGCAAACTGGAATACTTTTGTTCTATCTTGTGTACGAAAAGTTAAAATTTATTGGATTTATAGAACCTGTCATCAAACCATACCTCTTTGCCGATCAAAATATTAAAAGTATTGTCATAGTGTATATCGAAGACCTAAGTGTTTTCAGATTATGCACTCAAAACCTGGGAACTAATAAAATTAATGAACTCCATTTAAAAAAGTGTCGAATGAACACTGTCGGTTTCATATTAAAGAGCGCGAAGGAAAATTCACTAGACCAGAAATCCGTAATAGAGTAGATAGCCTTCAAATTTGAACTAGTAGATGCGAAAACTGCATCCTATCCCATAAATACGAGGACACTGGAAAAAAACACTGATGCGGATTACGAACTCCCTTCAAAAATGTAGTGGGATGCCTGCAGGATTTCGTTGGAAGAACCAGGTCAGATATCTTCACCGCAGTTATTAAACCGGCTCAGCACTTAACAGAATATAGTAGGCAGCATTGGCTTGCTGTAAAAGAAATGCTAAAATTTTAGAAAGAACCAAGTTATTAAAGGTGGTTTCCAAAGGTATGGTGTCTTTTAATTGGAATATTTTTACACGCGGATTAGGCTTCAGAACATGCAATGAAAGTCGAACCAGAGTCGTAATATCTTCTAACCGCTGTTTTGTTCTGGGAATTAAAATGCGGTGTTAACTACAGCGGAAGCCGAATACTTTTGCCCGCGCCTCTTGCATCCGAACAGCTAGTTTACTAAACCACATACCATTGTTATAACACGTGTTCTTTAGCACGAAAACTAAAGGTACAGTTTTTTAACGGGTGGTTTTATAATAGTTACAATTAGCAGATTTTGGTTTGCTCTACATTGCATATAGCTTAATACAGCCGGTTCATGGGCTGCAATTATGTAGGCATACGCAAACGTGCCCTCGACATTTTTAACCTCATACTTATATTTAAGAAGGTTGAATACGCTCGCCCTAATAAGCCTTCAATAGGCTGTAGCGAAGGTTTCAGATACAGATAGGTATGAGTTTGATTTTAAGGGAAAGACATTTAGGTGATGCTGAAACCATACCCTTAGATACTTCCTAGATTTTATGTATACCTGAACCTTTAGTCTACTTTTTATTCTCTGATCTCACGCTATTATGAAGTAACATCATGCTAAATTTGTACTATAATATAGCGCAGTAGTAGCTCCCTAAAAAATTAAATGCTGCCTTGTTAAGGCGGGGCCCACTTTTGGCTAGGCGGAAAATCTAACGAATTAAGAGTCCATTTCATCCCGGTTCGAGCCCACTTTCCCAAGATAAGTCAATTTTTACTAAATTTTGACACATGTGAGAATAATGGACGTAGCATTAAATAATGTTATATGTAATTTTTTGAACAAGGGGATGTGTTAGGATTTGATAATATACTAATGTTCTGCCTCCTTAAGGCGGATGTCCACCTTTTGTCGTGATGGAAATCATATATTAGCAAGAAATAAAAAAAAATTAACAATCATTTTTTTACTTAAAAAATTACTTTCTCGCCAAGTTTAATGATAGCTAATGGTAAAGAGACCTTCACCTCCTTTTGCTAAGCGCTCTCATATGGAAAGTTGTATCATTAACAATTAAATCTGGTGTACTTGAGGTTTCTTAGTAATAATTATTAAGGACGAGCATCACAGAGATTGTCTAGGGTAGCCCCATAAGAAGAGTTATACGTGAATACTTGCCGTACAAACTAATGAATTTCTCGACTAAATTATATATGAATTTTTCTTCAAGACTACTTTAGCTAGGAACTCTAGTCTTTGATATTTGCACAAGCTAATTCAATAAACTTTATTTTGCTATTATCTATCTGTGTCAGGTTAGAGGCGCTTTAGTTTAACATGAAGGGATTACTATTTTGGGAGCTAGAGATAGCGCTGGTTAAAACGAAAAATTGGTAGCAAAGAAGTATACGTAGAAGAAGGGGCTTGAGGATAACAATTTTATATAGTAAAAGGGGAATATAAATATTTTGGGTTGACATAAGTAATGGAGCTCCATAAATTCATACATCCTTTCTCAGCTTAGAAGCGTTCTGCAGGTTGGATATAAACGCGCACCCAATAAGTGTTACTATGTAAGTTAATTTAAAGATGTGCACGCTCAAGAATGCTTTTAAAGCCATTAAACAACGTACTCGCAAAAGATTGTCTGTAGGGTGTGGTGCAAATTGAATAAAATTGTTCTTCTCTACCCTTCCCTTAATTATTAATAACTTATGCGCTGTAGTTAAATCGTAAGGGTTATGCAGAGCGGAGGTTTGAATTGTCAGGTCAAAAGCATTTTCATATAAAAAAATAAAATAAATTTTACCAAATTAACTTACCAAGATTTCATTACTGTTTAGTTCCTATATATATTAAAAGCCTAATTAGTATGTTTTCATTATTAGGAAGGTACTCCCCATTTATACTATCTTTTGTTCTAATAAACTTTCCGATCTTAGCCCTTGAGCTTTCTTGTTTTGACGAATTTTTTATTTGCTCTAAACTGTTGTTAATAATAGAATTTACAAATTCTCCACTAATGGTTTAGCTTACTATTTTTTTATGTAAATTTAAGCAATGTTTTGATTGTGTTTTGTGGCGGGTTAACTCCATATCTTTGTCAGCTTACATTAAAAATTAATTTTTCCTTTGTTTATGTAACATTCTGGTTACTGATTGGCTTAATCACGGATTACTTCATTTATTCTCTTCGAATTTGTTGCTTGGTCTTCCTTTTCTAGATAATTCTTTGACGTTGTCTGCCCGTACGTAAGTTGTTTTAAGTATATTATATTTATTATATTCTTGTACAAAAGGTATGCTTATTTTTAAATATTATAAAATTAACATACAGCCGACCTCGCTTTTAACGAACGTCAGGGGCCGTCTTTTTCTGTTCGAGGCCGCCAAAAAACTAGAAAAATTTGCAAAATATAGGAAGACAAGTTGAATGCTTTTTTATTTAATTAGAATCATGTATTTATTAATTATCCAGTTAAAAAATTCATTTAAATTAAGTTTTTGTAAATAACTTGTTATCGAATCCTGTTTCAAAAACAGACAGTTTTTTTTTAAGTTCGGGGCAGAAAGATTTGGGGTCTCTCTACTGGAGGGTTCACCTTAAGCATATAGGCGAGGTCGACTTATCTACAAGTTAAGTGTATTATGTTACATATCAATATATTAAAAGTGACCTTCTTTTGTATTAAGTGTGCACAGATATAAAGATTAGTAGACTTCATTAGAAATACACTGCAAACCGTGTTTCTACGTGCTTATATTAAGCTCGTTAAAAAAATTTGTTTTGTCTTGAAACTCTATACTTAGCAAGTTATTAATTTTTAATCACTAAAAATGTTCTAAAAAAATCAAGGGTCTCTTATGGGTAGAGTAGGGGCGGCTGTCGGTGGGAGGCAGAAACCCTCGAGTCGGTAACTTTGGTCTGGGGAGTTCGGCTAAACCCTATTTCGTTAAGGCAGCTTGCTCAACTCGATTGGAGTTCATATGGTTAAAGCACGCTATGAGCAATAACCTTTAAGAGTGTTATATAGTCATATACGTAATGCTTTCTTCTTCCAAGGAAGCTCTGGAAGCATTACATGATTTAAATATTATACTAAATCCACAAAAAGAGGTGGCAACAGTTAGTAATATCCTTGAAAATGTTCATCAAATAGAAATTAAAGTCAACTACTCTCAAAAGAATTTAGAGGAAAAACTAAAAGGTACCAGTAACTGTGTTAAGATACTTAGTGGTAATTATACTTTAATTTTTGTAATAAGAAAAAGAGGTAGAACTGAGAACGCTTCAAAGCCATGAGAAAAAAGTTGAAAGCGATCAGAGATTTATTGCTCAAGTGGAAGAAGAAGAAAACTTTAAATTTCTTATAGCTAAAGAATTGAATGCCTTGGAAGTAATAAACTTTTGCATAAGGAAAAAATAAACCTTAGAGTAGGTTAATTTTTTTTATTTCTGTTAGGACGACTGTCAAAATTTAGAAAAGGATTACAAGTCTATATTCTCTCAGTTAAAACTTTTAGAGGAGTTGGAAGAACTGAAGGTGAAAATAGATGCAGAAAAGGAAGAGGCGATTTACAATAAAACTTATAAGGATGAAGGCGATAACCAAGTGGAGTTGAGCGGCACTACCGAGCGTTTAGAAAGGTTAAATTTCAGAGATGTCTTAAGTTCTGTGACCAGCCTTCTCTCCAAGTTGTCTCTCCATGACCAATTAAAGGAGGAACATCAAAAACTATCTAAAGTTAAAAGTAACTTGACCTCTCAAGAAATTCTCAATGAGTTATCGCATCTCAAAAAACTCAAGAAAGCAAGGTACTCAGGTACCGCCAAACGTATACGGGCACGTACTTACCTTACACTATTTCTTAGCTGTTCTATGATGTTATACAGCCAAATATGTGGATTGAGGAGACTTAAGCAGGAGGGCGACCTACTCTACTGCAGTAAGTGAATAGCCTTCTATTGTGAGACCCGATAAGACGTCTTCTGTTTATATAAAGAATTCCTTGACGGCTTTGAGAAGACTATTGACCTTAAGCGTTACTCGGACTTCTTTATTACCTCTCGTTTATGGGAGGAAATGTAAAGCCTTTGTCAATAAAAAGGCTGAAAAAGCCTTACCGCCCCTTCCTTTGAGCCAGTTATAAGTAGCCTTGTTTGGCCCAGTGTTAAAGAAGCCAAGGAAGTCACAGACTCTTTACAAATACTCTCCGCCCACTCGCTGGTATGTTTAGAAAAGATGTAGTCGCCTGCAGGAAAGGTGCATTCGGCGAGAATTTTAAAAGAACGAGCATTCCGTGTCCTTAAGTTTGCTTGAAATTAAATATGCTGGCACGCGGTTAAATACTCACCAGTATAACGGTTTCGTTAACGGGCAGTGAGAAGTTATTTGGTACGAGCGGGACGGCGTTTTTAAGTTCCACGCCCGCAAGCAGTAGTCGCTGCTCCCTATTATAACCTCTTTTAACACAAGGAACCAATCCAGCCTTTCTCTAATAACGAACAAGTGATAATGTGGTCGGAATTGGGTGGACACAAAAGCACTCGCATCTTGCTTGCATCACTTTTACGCTTAAGTAATTCCACGATCTTCAACAAAGAATTCTAAAAGTATTCATAAATATAGTATAAAGTAAAAAAAACTTAACCACTTTTTCTATATTATGATGGCTCGCATCACTCGTCACGGTTATTAGGTGGGTGCACTTAAAAGACAGTAAGTCCCAGACGTAGACTATCGAATCTGTGGCCACTGCAGCTACGGGTAGAGTCGGATCTGAAGCAGAATTTCTATAGGAGACACTGCTGCCGCAAGCAGAGTAGAGTACTGTAGAATTGGGCCATGTGGTTAATAGGCCCTCCGCATGGTTGTGTCCAACTTGATACGGGGAGGCCAAAACGAAGGTCCCAGAGAGTGGCAAATCCTATAGGAATTGTTGGTATAAGCGAGTGGGAGCATCAGTATTGTAAGACAAACCTTTACTGGAGCCAGAGAGCATCCAACAATTGTTTGTTGCAACTGCGAGGCAGTTTAAGGCCCCTACGAGCAATACTTTAAAGAAGGTGAGACGTCTGTGGCTCACCCTCACCTTCACTGGATTCTGTCTTAACATTCCACGCTACGCGATTGCAGCGCGTGTCCCAACCGTACACGTGCCCATAGAGTGTGCTAAACACGAGGAGATCTTGCAAATTGCCTATACTACAAAGTTTATAAAGTGCACTTTTTAGTTGAGGCAAGGCCGTGAACCAGCGTTAGCGCAATGCAAGTCTGTCAGCTTGCCCACTTCCTTAGCCTCAATTGTGTGGCAGGACAGCGCCGAATTACCTTCTGAAACCCTATCAACGCTGCAAAATTAGTTTTAAACGACGTTAAGACAATAGATAAATTGTTAGCATAAAAGCAACCTAAGTATGCCTACGGTTCCAGTGCTTGTTGCAAATGCGATGCTCCGAGATTGGTTAAAAAACTTAGTTTTGACCATTCTTTCATCTATGCTAAGAAGATAGCAACTTTCCTTTCCAAGAGCAACAAAGCTATACTTGTCCTTGAGAAAATTTGCGGGAGTTGGCATGCGGAATCAGTTAAGCCTTCACTGTTCCACAGCAGTATGGAGCCATCGTCCATCGCCACGGCAACCAACTTGTTATCTTTAGAGACATCTAAGTCATTTACACTAGAGGTTTGATCGAGCAAAGTAGTAAAAAGTGTTCCTTTAGCAAGTTATAATCAGAGGTATTTCGTAATGTGAGGAAGAAGTGGAAAGACCTGGCGTGTTGCCAGAGGGCGCAGTAACTGCTACTCATAGATGAATATATCTCCTGAAGAACAAGACTCTAGAATTTACCTGCTACGCCATGAGGGATTGCACTTCTAACAGGGTGCGCCCCCGATTGGCCATCGTACTTGGTGTGTGTCTTATAATAATAGCAGCGATAGACATATCAAAAGAAACAGCGCCCCCGCACGCAAAGAACCTCTTTAACAATTTGGTTTAGGGCAAACGAGGCAGTGCCAATTCCGGCCCGCTGCGGTGTGGGGTTGTTCTACAAAGCAGGACAGTTTAGCTACGGCAAGGGGAAGATAGCCAGCTGTTCGGGACCTTGCTTTTGAGGGCGGGTGACAGGGAAGATTTGTGTGGGCCTTATAAAAAAGTTAATATATTAAGTAGAAAACATTGAGGCCCCTAAATTGATGATATGTACTGTTTATAGAACTACTAAAAGACTTCGGTTTCGGTAACATTGTTTGAGGAACAATAAACTTGTGTGAGCCGGGTAAAGTACTACTACGCAAAGTCAAAGTCTGTATCATCTTTTTAAAATATTGGAAATGAAAATAAGATCGTGTTCCCTACTGTACAACTTGGTAAATTGTTATTATAAGCTCGCAAATGATATTAAACAGCACAAATTCAGGAGAGTGAAACAATATAGATGTTTCCAAAGTTGGAGGGTGATACCTGTTTTCCTCTGCAAGAGGCGAGTGCGTTCAAAAGTAGATGTTCGTCCTGTAGAGCATGAAAGGCCCTTGTCGCTGTTATTAGCAGCCATAAAGTAAACAGTACATAGTTTACGCTATCTACCAATTCTTTAAAAATGGTCGGATGGCCAGAAGAAGAAAGCAAAAAGACCTTGCAGTCCCCGCGTTACGTGCTAAAGAAGAGATAAGCCTCGCAGCAGATAGACGAATCCTAACCTGGAAAACAACATCGTTCATAGAAATGAATCGCATTGGAAGCCAATGAAGATACAGAGGAGTGTATAAGAAGAGGCGCAACTTCAGCAACAAACTTATTAAGCTGTCCGTATTCAATAAAAGTAGCCTGGAAGCGTGCAAAAAGAACAAGTAAAAGTAAAATGCGTAAGAAGGTTAAACCCGTACTTCGTATAAAAAGCATAAAGCTTCTAAAGCGGCAACAATTACATCGTTTTCAAGGTCGTGAAGTCCTTCGCTGAGAAGAGGAAGAACAAACTATACTTGGCATAATGTTATAGTTCAAAGCGAAGTGGTCCGCAGGTAGACACCTGCTGTATACTGTGCGTGCCCACAAAAGGTGCAATGGTAGCCAAACTATTGACCAATGCCAGCCGAAGTCGCCAGTCGCTCTCGTTCAAGTAGCACGAGAGATGCGATAGCAGAAGCGCTGGAACACCGCGTTTGCAATAAACCACATAGGGCATAAGTAGTGAGTTTGCTAACCAGTATTATTATCTTTTCCAAAAAATTGACAAAGAGAGGGCATGCGGCTTAGAAGCGTGCAACGGACCTGCGCTAATATTAGTTGACCTACTATTTTAACCTAGGAACAAGTGACCGACCGCTGGCTCCGGATCGTGTAGAAGCGCAACGATCTAAAAGTATTGATGCGCATAAGTTAAATGATTAAGATATAAAACGCCTAAGGAGGCAACCTCCGCCTTGAAGAGGGTTTGAAGTTCGTGTAAATCTTGCTCGAACGGCTGCAGGTCCACGTCATCCTCGTTGAGAGCCGAACTTGGCCTTCCGTGAACGCCCTCCAAAAACCGCAGAGCTGTTCGTGCAAGAGTAGGGATACACTCGGCGTAGGTGATCCGGACGAGCGTCTATTGGAACAGTTGCTTTACAACAGAAAGTCTGAAGCGCCGAGAAGACAAACACGAAAACCTCATGGTCGCCCTTCTTCCCGACAATACCAGAAAGATGAACCAATATATACTCTGGAAAAACATTGGCGTTGGCGAGTGAGACGGACCGGACGCATTCTGTGAGTCTAGTAATTGTCTTAATAGACTGAACCCTGCAGACAAGCACTCGACATGCGGGAACTTCATAAAAGCAAGTTTCTTTCAACCTGACGAGGGTGGCGGGGTCGGAAAGTAACGAAACAGCGGCAGGTAGCATCCGGTCCAGGCGATACTCGTCGCATACCCACTAACCGAAGAGCAAATGGCATTAAAAATATTGAAAAATATTAGCAAACCTACGTCAGCCAACGTCATCAACATCTTCAAAGCCTTCACTTTTGAAGAGGAAAGAGAAACACTCTGGATGAGCGAAGTAATTAAGGCGATGACTATCACTAGCGGGCTCTCTACACGCACGAAATTTGAGGCGCTGGGGTTACGCAATACAGGGTAGCAAGAATACCGCAGTTAAAAAAGAGCGCAGGCTTTTCCTCGTACCGCTCCCCTGTGGAGTCGAAGAAGCAGGGAGTGATCGGATTAGTGACTTGTAAAAAAAAAAGCAGAAACCTAACACTTGAGGCATTGGGGGCGCTAGAAGCATCTCAAGCTGCTCAATTTTTTCCTCCGCTTTCAGACTAAAAGCGCTAAAAGTGTTGCAGTAGTCGTGAAAACCAGCACTTATTTCCTCCGAAAGCCCTACCACAAGACTTATGGTAAACTTTGCAAGCAAAAAAGTACTGTATGTACCCGAACTGCTCCACCGCAGCAAGTAGCCCTGAGCGTCCAGCCTTTGCTGTGGATCTCGTTGTACCATGTGAGCTATTAGATCCTTTGACAAATAAGTTTCTAGCTGCAAAAGGAGACGAAAGTATATAACTTTTATGCGGGGGTCAGAGATAGATCCAAGAGCATTTTCGGGCTCATATTTGTTATCATGGTAAGCGAGTAGCTGCGAATAAGAAAAGAGAGGGATCCCGTCGTTAAAAAGTTCAGCTAGAAGACAGCCGAGCGAGAAGATGTCCATGGCAAAAGTTAGTTCGCCCTGAACAGACACTGAAAGGTAGCACTGACAAGAGCGCTAGAAACCAAAAACCTCTTGATACTCGCCCATTCCTTCTCCCTTAATATATATACACTTAAAGTTTTTATTTTGATTCCCTTTCAGTGACTTACCTCACTTGAATCTAAGGAATTGTAAAATCTTTCTGGAGCGATGCAGCAAGTTCTCCGCCCAGATGTATCAAAAAAAAAAGCAAAAGCAGCCGGGTTGTCCTAAAAAATATAACTACTATAGGCGACATAGCAAGTTGAGTTGATGCCTTTCGTAGAAATGTTGGTTTGAAAATAGCAAAGTCTGTTAGAAGGACCCAATTCCAACTTGTTATCAATACGTTTTCTGATTTTATATCCCCTATAGGACGGTTAAAATAAACAGAAAAAGTCAGCAAGAAGGATCACCGTGCCGCACTCCTCGATCTTTACAGAATTTTAATGCTTGAAGCATTTGAAAAGCTATCCACTTTTTTTCGATAAGAGTAAGGAATGGTCGCGTACTGAAAAATAAACAAAGTAAGTGTTAAAAAAGATAGATATAAAAGGACGGTTTCATAAAACCTCATTCTCTCATACAACGTCTGAGATATATACTGGCGGGTTAAAAATAAACAACTCTCTGTTTCAATAATGGCATAATAAGGCAACACATTAGGAACATTGTGAAGACGTTCTTTAATACCTGAAATAAAACGAAGTTATTTTTGAAAAATTAAGGTAGAAATTAAAGAAGAAATGCGGTACTCTCTAATTCTTCCTTATAGTTGGCGATGTGAAGTTTCGAATCACTTTCGTGTTTAATAAATCCTTTAACAATACATAATAAAACATCATACTTATTTTTTTTGTATTCGCAGAGGGCAACTTTGAAAAAACGTGAAGAATTTAAACTAGGTCAGCATGTTAAATAATTATAATAAATTTGTATTGTTAACTTTAACCTTTTTAAAAAGGTATAATCAACTAGTTCACTAATATAGCCGCTAATTATCCACGTTTGACAGGATCTATAAGCTATCTGATTTCCCATTAATAACTTTAATAAAAAAGCAGTAAAACTTTAGTTTCTAGCCGAAGCCCAAAAGTAACGACGCTTCAAGTTCTCCGCTAAATTGCATATAACTTTACTAGAACAGCGGATACGAAATGGTACGATATATGTCACCATACTGGCGAGGCACCCACTGCGGGGTCAAGGAATATATTTTAGATAATCGAGTCATGCTATCTACTCTCAAAATACATATTTACAAATTTTTCATCAGTGTTGACTTGAAATCTTTGAAAAGTAAACTGTGTAATTTGTTATAAAATTATATATTATCACTTAGAGTAACTTTTTATATTAAATAGTAGAAGTATTCATAAATAGTATTGTTTCATGAATTAAATACTTACGAAAAACCTTATAAGAGAGTTGATGGCAATAGCAGACGCGATTATTGAAGCTTTAGGGCTTCACTGCTCCATGAAAAATTCATCCTTTATCGTCTTACAAGGCTGCGACTTCGGCTTCACATCAAAATTTTGGTATTTTTTGGTTTTTATCACCTTTAGAGGGCAATATATGGGACACCCTAATAATATTATAATCCCCTATTGTAGACCGCACGACAAAGTTACCAGTCCAAGAAGGCTCTGAGTAGCGTTCTATTAATATATTTTACTTATCTGAGCTGCAAGTTTCTAATTTGGCGTAAGTAGTTTAAAACTTTTTTTACCATTTTCAAATGAAGACCTGGTGTTAAGCAAAATCTGCTTAAAAATGTAGTAGCAGAAGGAATGTCCAGCCTTGTGCTTTCAGTTATGTTGCGTAAAGCCCATCATACAGTAGTTGGGTCCGTAATATTTGCATATTTCCACATCTACTGGTCTCAAATTACTATTAGTTATGTCAACGCTTAGTATTTTACTTTTGCATAGTTTGTAAATACATTGCAGCGTTTCACTGTATTATACAATCATCGATATATAGGCTAATTATGGTATTATAATCTTTGCGGTAAAACACAGTTATCAAATTTAGTACAGATTTTAGTTTTTCTAATCTTTTGATCAAACAATTATAGATAATGTAGGGAGCATTTTGAGAGTATTAAGTACCACATTAATTTTAATGCACACCTCATTAATTATACAGGTTCTTTTTAGTTGAGGATTGTGTAAAATTTTAATGAGCTATAGCCCTTGTGAAATATAAAAGCAACATGAGCGTAAATAGGGTTTGTAATTTCCTGTTCAAGAAAGCTGTGGCGCTATGTATAAGCCACTCGAATTAGTATATTGATTTTAACTAATCTATATGCTATTTAATTAAAAGATACTCGTTCAACTCCTAACTACTTACAAATACATTATAAAATTAATACTATTTATAAACAGTTCTTTGACTAAACGCAATTATTTACAGTAAAGTGGTATACTAAGCTTTTTCTAGTAAGTTATATGGAATTTGACCAACAATTTTACTAAAGAATCTTTTACAGTTATTTTAGATCTCGAATTAGAGATTTTAACTCTGAAAAAATAGAACAATATGCTAATAAAGATGATTACTGGCAGTTAGTTGGAGAAAAAAAGTAAAAAAAAGTAAAAAGTAAAGAAGTACAGAGCCGTCGTCTATCTGTTCGACTGAAACAACTAACTATAACAGAACGATGGAAGATTAAATTTTTTAAATCTACTGAAAAATTCGAAAGTTCTCGTCTATCCCCTTGAAATCGCATCAGAAGACTAATACCCTATAAAAGCAGATAAAAAAAAACAAAAAGAAAAAAAATTCCCCCTGTTGTTGTTAAGGAGAAAGAATTATCATCAAAATTAAGTGGGAACTTTTAAAAATTAATTTAAGCAGAGCGACAAAGATGTCCCGTGAAATTAATTCATGGTCTTTTTCCAAAAGTGACTATCGAAATATCCGAAAATTTTTAGTGGCATAAAATGAGTATTATACTGAGCAAGATACGTGTCTTAAAGTAGTGATAAGAGAATCAAGGACAGATTTAGATGAAAGCATTATCTTTGAATACCCTAAAAATCAATTATTTAACCCGATTGAAGTGGTGAAAATGAAAAAAGGGCACAACGTATAAAAATACTTTTTGTTTAAGTTAAGCTACCTAAATACAAAAAAATATACAAGTTACTGCAGTCTGTAGAATAAGGTAAGTGTTAAATCTTTACCACAAAAGAACTTTATTAAATAAGACTTTTGCTGTCAGTTATAACATAGCCACACTCAATAAACTGTTGCGTTAGACGTTGTGAAGAACACTTCTCACACGAAAGACTTCAGCCAACAATTAATCCGATAGTATGTGCAAACTGTAAAGAAACACTATACTGCAAACTACAGAGGCTGTGTGTATTTTTATTGAAAACGACAAAAACCATAATTGCAAAATACAAAGGTTAGTTTGAAAAGTAAAACTGCAAGCCCTGAAAATAATATAAATATAATTAAAAAGAAAGCCCGTAAATAAAAAAGCAGACAGGCCCGCACTCTTAGTCATATGCGCAGGTTACTAGTAATTCTGAAAAATATAACGACCATCCCAATTGAACTAAATAATTTCGTTATGACATTTGCCGCGCAGTTGGCTGAATAAAAATGAAATTTTGACAGCTGATTCCCATTTGCAAAAAATGAACTCTTGGAAAATATTTACACATACGACTCTAATAGAATATGTGACAAAACAAGAGATAGTTGTGAGTTCCTAAATGAAAAGGATAAGAAATTACTGCACATATCGCAACGATAAAAACAACAGAAAAGGAGGAGGAATGGCCCTTTCGAGAAAGAAGTGCATTCCTCACACTAAGCTGAATATAACTTTGAAGATGCTCATCGAAGCTGTTGGATATCTATATACACCGTTGCCCACGGAAAAACACTGCAAACTGCAGTATATAAGTCCCCTGATAGGATTTAACTTGAACATCACTTGATAAGTTTTATCTGAAATACTGCCTCGGCTATGGCAGCAGGAGATTTTAATTCAACACATCCCGCTTGGTTTAGCAAAAAGGTAATTCCCAATGGTTGTTTCATAGGGAAGTATGCGTTTACGTGGCTGTAGTTGGGTCCTCGAAGCATACACATTATTTAATTAGATACTCATCTAAAGTATTAAAATATCAGTACAAAAGAATATACCTTTGACTACAATTTACTAGCTACTATCAGATCATAGCTCGGTGGTTTTAGAATTGTTGTTACCGTTTCGATGCAATTAAAACGACCATCCGGAATGCATTGAGGTTATTACTAAAGAATTATAAATAAAAAGAGTTTAGATAAATGTATAATAAACTAAAAGAATTAGACAAAAAGCATCCTTAAGCTGGTGAACGCTACGGCTCGCTAAGGCAAACTGAAAAAAATATAGTACCTATAACACCTTATTTTAATAAATGTTCCTTTTACTATAAAAGTGTTGATTGCGAAAAGGCGAAGTCAAAAAAGAAAAAATTATAGAACTCTTTATTCGCAAGATAAAAAATACCTTTTTTTCATTAAATTGATTCTTTCTAAAACACTGGGGGGCTTTTATAATTCTACTTGGGAGGAGGAATATAACTCTGACAACAACTATAAAATTTTGACCTCTTGTTAAATCTTAAATGAATAAAGAATATTCTTTGCCATCTTTACTGCTTGGGGACCATATGATATCTGGGAATAAAGGAAAAGAAATTGCAATTGCTAAATATCAAGCAGGATTGTACAAACCTATACTCACAGAAAACGGAAATGACTTAGAAATTTTAATTTTATTGTAAGCAACAATTTTATTAGCTAGATTGCTTGAATTGAATAGAGGAGTGCCCCAGGACTCCTTGCTGTTCCTCTACTTTTTACATTTATATGGCAGGCCTTCCAGCCAACAAAGCCCCGAGCATTCACTTTTTGCCGATGATGCGGTCTTATCTTCCCCTTTAAAATCTCCATTACTTTGCGCATGCCTTAACACTTTAGTCAACAAGATCTGAGTGATTCGTTAGCTGGAAACCAAAAATTAACGTAAAAAAGACCAAGTGCCTGATAAACTTAAAACGGAAAAGAACGCCTGAACTATTTATTGGTGCTACATGGGCTGCGCTTCTTTGGTTCGGAGGTATTATGAACCTCAAACTACCTATGCTTCCCCTTCATGGGGTTTGCTCATTAAACTCATCGGGCAACTTAAAAAGTTTCAAAATAAGCTGTTGCGAATATTCGCTAATGCCCTGTTGCATATTACAATATGCTCAAACCTCACAGGGTTTAGACCCTGCACCTAAAAAGAGTGCCTTAAAGCGCTGCCCATGTCAGGGTTGTTGAACACACCTGTCTCTTAACGAGATCTTTAGTAAATATGAAACAGAGGGCTGCACTAAGAATCGTAGACCACGACACGTTCTCGGGTATATAACTAGTGCTGTTAGGTTAATAGCAACTTAAAAGCTACTCTGAAAGGGTAACTTAAGATGAAGCAGTAAAGACGATATATATGTTGGCTGCATATTGTTAATGAGAAAAATAAATAAATAAATTCGGCCTTTAGGTAGCACTAAAAAGATTTGATAATTTATGGCTTGTTGTGGTTGAAAACTACGTGCCGTAAAGCTTTTAAAATTAATGGTTTTTGTGTAAGTGCAAATGGTAGTTGATATTTTCAAAACTATTATGTCATAAACCTGAGGTAGCGGCAAGGGGATGTAATTACTTTGTTGTGTTTTCGTGTAATATTTCATAAAGGATAGTTCTGTTCTGTTGCAAAAGGCCTTATATCTTTTTAAATGATTTGTAAAG